CCTTTTGATGGATAACCATTGTTGTATCCTTGGATGCACACTCTTGACGAGTTCTGAATGCTTGATTAGATTAACTGAACACTATCCTCCCCAGGGTTAAAATGAGGGTTTTTTATGAACATAAAAGAAACTCCTACTTCGAAGGCTCAGAGGGGTTAACGAGGGTCTATCTCTCTTATATCTCCGGTGTTTAGGAATAGAAACAAGGCTTGTACATCATCAGCAGAGTCTTACTCAAAAGCGTACCAACCAGAGATTTTTTTGCATTTTTTTATTATCATCATCCTCCATCCAATCTTTACCTAAGCATAAGAATTGAAAACTTGGCATCAATATGCAAGTAAAACATTTAAAGAGTGATAATGAATGGATGAATAAAAACGAAAAGAACACTTCAAGATAAGCATACTTATTGCATTAAGATTTTCATTCAAAAATAGACAAGTTTCTGCATGCAAGCAATGTTTAAACAAACAAGCAAGAATGCAAATGAAAATGCAATAAAGAAACCAATGATTGCCATCGTTGAGGAGACTTGACTCTGTATGGATTTCTTGATTCTGACGGCTTTCTGTAGTCTTGATGCTTAAATGGGCGAGAGAATTCCCCTTCAGATCTGATATGAACATAATAGTCTCTGGATTGATTCCATCTTGGACCCTGCCTCTGGATGACATACCATCTTCAATCGAATGGCCAGGTGTCTTAGAATAATATGCATAGAAGATTCTTTCAGGAGAGCAAATGAATGCTTTACCAAGCGACTCGGCATAAACTGCATCACCAAACATCTTATGCCACAAAGAGATAATACAATTCATCTTCTATCACAACAAAAGAGACATCGAAATGGCGAGAAAGAGTCCAGCAGTTGGCCAAATAGGAATTGGAATTTTGGAAGAGACGCCAGACATGTGCTAGACTTTATACTTTGACCCCTTTACAATCTTCGACATTGAAACCTGGTGCCCTAGAATAGGAGACACATCTAGCCTATGTATCACAATCAGAAGAGATGTTTGTGGGAGAAGGACCCTAAAGATTATAGAGTTATCAATCGAACTTCCACAGGGCGAGGAAATAATTGGATGTAATGCATTGGGATTGCATCAACATGCTCATCAGGTTTCTTCTGTCTTTTCTTAAAAGCCTAGCCCAATGAATTCACTTAAGGAACAAAGACTGGCTGATGTCGAACAGATCAGGGAATACAAAGTTGTGGAGAGTGCCCCTGATTGAATACTCGGATGCCTCGGTGTGGTAACCACACCCGACATTGGTCAATGAGAACGAAGCACTAATATAAGATCCCATAGTAAATGGGAACCATCTGCTGATAAGATGTTCCAAGGACTCAAGATTGTGTAGCACTCCATAGTCGAAAGTAATTCCCAAAAGATAAGGAGAAGAGAGAACCTGTTGCGGCAGTAAGGGTAAGATTATTGACATCACCATGAGAGATTCCATGACCTGGCTCATCCCAGTCTTCAATTTATTACCTCCCTTCTCGAAGAATACCCGACCATAGGTCAAAGCTTGCATGTACACCATAATCAACCCCGTCGGGATCTTCGTATCGGTCAATCCCCACAGAGTTATACCATATCGATCTCTGAACATGTGAAGCAAGAAATCAAGTTGAACCTATGAGGAGAACACCATGTCTGAATAAGAATCCCCAATCTTCGAGTACCTGTTATGGATACATGAATATGTATGGGGTGCATGAATGGATGCCATGTCATGTTCTGTCATTTCCAAGGAATTTGCATGCTTTGATTTTGATTTTAAGCAAGTAAGAGATGGAAGAGTTTAACACAAGGCTTACAAATATGATTCCTTGGAAATAATAGAACATGTATGTTAAACATGTGGTTAACCATGTTATGTATGCAAAGACATGTGATCGAAGTTCCATCACTTCTGAATATGATTGTTGCACTGTTTCTAAACCATATGAATATTATCAGATCAAAGGTCTGACATAGCTTCTGCACATACAAGAACCAAGTACCATGTAGATCTTCCATTGTACGGGATCAAGGCCTCTGGAACATCAGATACCATTGAGTCTTTTTTGAACATGTTGGGAATACCAAGATCAAAGGCCTGGATGAACCTCCAAATAAACAAGTCAGGAACTCAAAATAAATCCGAGAACCCCATAGGCACCAACAGAATATCCATAACATAGTCATTATAACAAATAATCATTGTCTGATCATAGTCACCATATGAACATGAGTAACCATCTGAACATAGTCACCATCTGTACCTGTGATAATAATTCCCTCCCCACTCACGGGTGAAGACTAGGTCAAGGTAAAGGGTAACTCGAAAATCACGGGTTTGCTTGAAAGTAAAATCATCGCAACACAGACATGCATGATGAAAATACCTCCAATTGAACGTCATCCGAGCGTGGTATATGATATGACTGCACTAGTCGGACCATATCTATAGCCTCCATGCCCCCACTCTATTACTAGTGTCCTAGTGCACTCTAGCCTGGGTACTGGGCCTTTTACCTCATAGTAACACCCACCCAATCAGGAAGCAGATTCAGTACAACAGTAGTATATGGAAAACAGTAAAATGAAATGAATACATATGCTCAGGTATATACAAAATGAATAAGCCATAAGGCATATAAATAAACACCCAAAGATAAGAAAATAAGAGCTAGGAGCGACTCCAGGATGGACCAGCATTTAGTCGACCTATCCTCAGTGAATTCGCCAGCTGAAACAACCGACTGAAAATCATCAAACAATGAAGTCGCTGTCGAACGTCTTTTATCCCACATGGAGGGAAAGGTAAACATCAAGAAAACCTGAGAAGGGAAAAGTCACAGTCTTGCGACTGAGATATCAGGTAAGGGAGTCTGTTACGCGAGGGCAAGGTATTAGCATCCCACACGCTCGTAGTATTCTACGGTATCCACTCTTGTTATCTATCTTATAGGTGTGTTTAATCTATGCTTACTGTTTATTACTGAGGAAAGAATGCATGCAAAAGGAATGAGAAAAGAATGTAGGGAAAATAAAGTTGTACTCACTTGGGCCCTACCCCAATGCCTACGTATCATTTTTGAGAAATCAGAGCTACCGTAGTTCGGCTAACATGTTTTTGTTTGTTTTGTTTTTTTATGGACGATGTTAATTCCACCTTCTGCCACAGCTCGACCTTTGGAGACTTATGCGTTGGCACAGAAGTAAATTAATCATGTCCTTACTGAAGATGGTTTCGAGTTACGCCCTCGAGGAAAGATGCCACATTTGATTGGTTTGTGTTTTGTTACCTTGAAAAAGGGTTTAAGTGTGATTAACATGTTTTTGTTTTGCTAAGAAAGGTTTTAGTTTTAGATGCATATGCAAAAGGGGAAGAAAAGAGTCTACAGGGGACTAGCCTATTTCTAACCTAATGTTATTATACAATGGTAGCTCTAAGGTTTGGATAATCAAAAGTGAAATGTCTACTGTTGTACCCCAATTTTTGCCCCTAAGATCCCTCATGATACTTTGTACATTTTTCACATAGCATTGGTCTCATGGTTATAAGATCGAAGCACTTTGGCATTAGGGTTTCTCTCTATGAATTTAGTTTGCTATCTTACTCAAAATTTATTCAACTGGCGCTCTCATTTTTCTTGGTATGAGATTAGGGTTTTGGATCTCAAGCAGCATAAATGTCTCTACTATCAGATTTCCTCAAGATACAACTTTTTCTTCATCAGAGTTCTTTCAAAGAATAAAGGCATTAGGGCCTAACTCAGCCAGAGAATCAGGATTTCTCTTCATTTTGTTTAAGCTTGGTAATGATTCTTATATGGAGGTTTATTGAGTTAAAGTCTCACTTCAAGGCTACATTGAGCGCTACTCTTCCCTTACTGAAAGATTGCTTTGAGTTTTATCAAGTTTAGATATGTGTCGTTGGGTAAGCTATGGTCAGGAGCTTATTTAGCTTATTTTATCAAATGAAAGATGGTTGTTTCAAATGCAAGATGACTAGAATTTATGGGTTCAATTGAGATTAAGGTTCATTGACCAAGCACGCCATTTGAAGTCAACTGAGTTTCGACTTGTCATGAACGCTTGAGTTGCATTAAGGATCGATTTAAGATGAACATGGAATAGAAGTTTTTAATGTGATTCAAGGGTAAGTCATTTAACTTGCTTGAAGAACAAGATATATGAGAGAGATGTTACAGGACTTATGGATAATTTTCCTGGTTTTGTTGTACTCATAATATAAGTGATTCATCAATTGGCTTTGCTTAGAATTTGGATTATGTTTGAGATACAAAAAGAAGATTTTGAACTTGAGGTTAAAGAAGGGATCGCGATTCATTCAAGATACATTTTGAGAAGATGTAAGCATAAGAGAATAAATTCAAAGACAAGTGAATTAATTCAAAGTCTCTTTTCTTGATTCAACCATGGCTATTACAAAATCAAGAACTAGAACATATACATTTTCAACCATTTAAAATTACATAAAAGTGACAATTTCAATCCAACTTATGAATATATTACATCAAAGTCCATAAACCAAAATTCAATTACATCCGAAAACCAGCCATATCACCTGTATCACATTTAAAAGAAAACTATAAAAATGTTGCAAGTTAATGAATGTCCTAATTCTATGAGCTTCATGTCAAACTCCATGCCTCCAAATTCAATGCATCTTGCTATACTATGCTAAGTTTCAGCTTTGCACCATGGACCATTGGATCAAACCGTACAAACTGTGATATAGCCCTGCATTAGAAAATCAGAAGATATAAAAATAAAGAAGAAGAGGGAAAAGAAACCAAGTGACTTAAATAGTGTAGATTCTAGTGAGCAAAATATCAATGAGCCAAATGATGCTGAATTAAGTAGTTCTAATGGGTTAGATAAAATGCTTTCTAAAGAAGTCTTGTTGCGTCTCAAAGAATATGGATCTGGTCTTCATATGAAGTCAGTGGGTGAGCTTATCAACCTGGCACACAAGTTTTATGATGAAGTTGCCTTGCCAAAGATGGTTACAGATTTTGCATCACTTGAACTTTCTCCGGTGGATGGTCGTACTTTAACTGACTTCATGCATTTAAGGGGACTTAAGATGGGATCTTTGGGTGAAGTGGTTAAACTTTCATAGAATCTTCCACATATACAATCCCTTTGTATTCACGAGATGATAACTCGAGCATTCAAGTATCTACTTAAAGCAGTTATTGCTTATGTCAACAATTTAGCAGATTTACCATCAGTCATTACATCAACACTGAATTTATTACTTGGCGAGTTCAAACTTCCACAAGGAAATATCAATAGTAATACTTCTTCCACACTTCAGCCCTGCCATATTCAAAAACACAAAAAAAAAAACAGTTTAACAGTCTGCATAAAAGTGCCAACATGTTTCCAACTTGCAGCCGGTTGGTTAATCGAGTTGTAACACAAATTTGCCAGCTCATCACATCAGTTATAACAGAAAATAACAGAATTGCAGCATTTTCAAAACTTCTAACCTCCTCAATATAGACCCTTCAATGCTATAACAGGTTTTATTAATCCAAGGGCTGAAATCTGATTCCAGCTAACTAACTTTTCTAGATCTAACAGAAAGAGAAAAAATAGAAACTGACCTCAATTAGGGACTCTCGATTTTTTCTGGGGAGAATCACAAAACTCTTCAACAACCTCTCTCTTCTCCTGTCATCTTCATCTTCATCATTCTTCAACTTCCAGAAGGATCACCAAAAATATCTTGAAAAGTATCTCAATATCCATCACCAAACCTCTTCACTCTCCCTCTGAATTCCATCTTCATCTTCCTCACATAAATTCACTTCAATCTTCACCTTTATCTTCATCTTCTGCAATTAACGAAACCTCCAGAACCATGAATCTCAACCTTCAACAATCACCAAGAAACTTCAAAAATACAATCTGCAACATCACCAATCTTTAGCATCATCTTCATGTTCTCTGCATAGCACCCTGCTCCAACCATTAACGAAAATGCATGCAACAATAATCGTAACACAGGTCGAAGGAGAAGAAGAAGAAAGTATATGAATCAGAAGAGGAAAGAGTGGGAATCAAAGAAAAGTAAGACGAAGAGGAAGACGCTCACCTGAGTTCCTTGATTTTTCTCGTCATCAATTTCACTGTTGTAAAACCGCAGGAGCATCTCCGGCCGGTAAGACTCGATATTCCTTTGTTCTTCGCTCGTTACTTCAACTTGTTGATTGCATCATGATGGATAAACAAACGAGTTTACACGGAGGTGAGAAGAATTACGGTGGGGATAAAACATCCACTGTGCTATGATGTGCGATGTTGCGGAGATGAGTGAAACGGCGGTGAGACAATGGCGAGACAACGATGAGCGGCGGAGCTGGGTTTGTTGATCAAAGAAGAAGGTTTGAGGAGTTGAGATCGTGTCATTTACGAACAAGAGAGCCTGGGTTGTGTCATCTGAAATGACACAATTGTGACCCTATCCAAGATCAAAACGCACCATTTTTGCTTCTTCTCGTTATATTTTGTTCTATTATAAGTTGATAAAAGGATTAAAAATCTGAATATGGATTTGAATTGGGAATGGCTGGAACGGAAGATGAGAGGCCATGCATTGGATTTTCCAAAGCCCATTACTTTTTTTATGCACATGTAGCATTGCAACAAAAATAGTTGTTGGATCCTCTTTGTTGGGCTTAGTGCCATTCTGATCCATACATATGAATCCATATTCGCACCCCCTCTGTTTCTACCATACTCTTATCTTCCCATGTTTTATTAGTTTTAGCTTCATTTTTCCCATGATTTTAATGATGAAAATGATACAAAGAAATGGATAGAACATTTTTGAAACCTTTAAGATCTCCCTTTAGAATTTTCATTAGAATTTTCTATTATTTTCATGTTTGATAATCGTTTTCGTTGTCATTTCTAGCTAACATTTTGCGATAGAATGTTTATGCAACTTTGGCAATGTGGAAGTTCTTGGAGACTAACTCGTTTGATCTCTTATTTTCTTGGCTTTGAAGAGGCAACGTACTTTCTCCGTTAGCTCACGCGAAGTATCTTGGATTTCTTTACTTTGGTTGCGCTTTTTGCGGATGTCATTGTTCGTTTGGTATTACACTGCTTCCAAGTTATATTTCCGCATTTATCGCTTTTCTAGATATCATGAGAAGTAGGAAATAAAGAGCGTGCGCTCGAAGTCGCTGTTTAAAGACCTGTAGTAGACATTCCACACTTCATTTCTGTTATGTATTGTACTTGTGTTTGTTTCCTTTCTTGTTGATCGATGAGTCACTCAATTTAGAAATTGAGATCACGACTTCGCTCTCAGTGCATGCTCCCTATAGGATTTTATCGCTTTCCTTTATTTCTTGTTGATCGATGAGTCACTCAATTTAGAAATTGAGATCACGACTTCTCTCTCAGTGCATCTTCCCTATAGGGTAGTTTGTTAGAATTTCTTTGGCATGCTGACTTAGATAGGATCCCTCATTGTATGATAACATTAGGTTAGAGATAGGTTAGTCTCCCTTAGATGTTTCCCTGTTTTTGCATAATTGCACTTAAAACTAAAACTTTTTTTTCTTGGCAAATGTATAAAGAATGCTAAGCATACAAAAATACTTTTCATAATAAAAAATACCAACCAATCCATTTCTTTTCGCCATTCGGCTTTTCTCTTCTAAGAGCATGTTAGCTCCTTTCCACTACAGGTCGTAAGTCTCCAAAGGTCGAGCAGCGGTGGAATGATTGAATGCAACATTGTTCATTTAAAAAATACAAACAAACAAAATATATGAGCCGAACTACGGTAGCTCTGATTCCTCAAAAAGGATACGTAGGCATTCGGGTAGGGCCCAAGTGAGTACAACTTTATTTTCCCTATATTCTTTCTTTTTTATTTTCATGCATTCTCTCTTAATTTACAACCTTTAAGCATTAGATTGAACACACCCTTTGATTAGAATAACGAGAGTGGATCCCATAGAGTACTATGGACGTGTGGGGTTCTAATACCTTCCCCTCGCGTAATCGACTCCCTTACCCAATCTCTCAGTCGCAAGACCTTGATTTCCCCTTTTAGGTTTTTCTTTGATGATTTCCCTTTCCCTTTCATATGGGATAAATAAATACTCGGTGGCAACTTCATTGATTTTACCGCTACATAAAAATGGCGACTTCACTGGGGAAAACATGTCGACCAATTGCTGGTCCATCCCGTGAGTCACTCCTAGCTCCCATTTTTCTTTTCTTAGGGTGTTTATCATTATGCTTTTATAGATTATTCATTTGTATATGTTTGAGCATATGTTTGCATTGCATCTTTATTGTTATTTGTTATATTATTGCTGTGCTGGTTTCTCTGTTTCTTGATGGGTGAGATGTTACTATGAGGTAAAAGGCCTAATACCCAGGCCAAGTGTAAACCACAAGAACACTAGGAATAAAGTGAACATGAACGGTTAGTTGACTTAGGTTTCACTATGCCGCCATGTCGTCCACGCTCAGATGAGGTACAAATGAGGGGCTATCATTTTCACATAGGTGATATGGCGATAGTTTTTCAGGAGTACCCTCGATTCTGAGTTACCATTGACCTTACCATGACCTAGTCATTACCCGTGAGTGGGGATGGAATAATCTTTACAGGTACAGATGGTGACTATACATGTTCCGTTGGTGACTTTGATTATACTGATGACTTTGATCCTTTGTATTCTGAATTGGTCCAGACTTTTGATCGTGTTACATATGACATTGGTTCTGTTATCAGTTCAGCAGTTATCCAGTATCGCATAAGCTTTGATCCCGCATTGTTTGCATACATAGCATGTTAATATAATTATCAACATACATGTTCCTTTTTTTTCAAACATTACTACCTTGATTCCAATTGTTAAGACGAAAAATAAACAAAAAATAATAATATATAATAAATACATGATAAAAGAATATATGATAACATTGTGGCTTAATAACTGGAATCAAAATGTATGAACTTTTGGAAATAAGAATATGGCATTTGTATTGCATGTCATGCATCATGTTACGTTTGACTATGCATTTCATGAGTTCCACAGAAGTCTTACCCAAGGTCCTTTGGTCTTCGAATCAAGCTGTCTCATCAGTACAACACTCGTGCTAAGGGAAGATGGAAAGCATTAAGCAAGAGATCTTTGAACTCCACAAAGAGGTAACTACTTTGAAGGCTGATATGGAATATCTAACTGCTTTGGTTAAAACTTTGGTTGCCGCCCAAGTCAATCTTTCTAGGAAGGAAGAAGAGATGGAAAAAGTCTTCATAGAAACTCTGAAATCATTCTTTCAAAGGAAAATGATAGTCAATGCACCCGGTGATTTCCTAGAAGGAGTGAATGTGATAGTGCTTCTAGGAAAGTACGTCTGAAAGGAATGTTTATCTGAAGACAGTGGCACAACTAGTGGTGTGAACAAGTTTGATAATAATTTTTCTAAGAATAGAACCAGAAGAAGAAACAATCAGCGTCATAATCAACATGTTTCTTCTGTCATCCCTGTGTTCAGTTTACCTTTTATTGCTCCAGTTTGTCAACATAATCAACAAGTTTCTGATCAGAAGAATGCTCAGTTTGATCCAATTCCAATGACCTACATAGAGTTGTTTCCTATCCTAATGCAGAGGAATTTGGTTCAGACTCGACTTCCACCGAAGATTCCTGAGAAGATACCTTGGTAGTACAAAGCTAATTTGACTTTTGCTTTTCATCAGGGAGCCCCTGGGCATAATATTGAACAATGTTATCCATTAAAAGCTGAAGTCCAGAAATTGGTCAAAAGTGGTATCTTGTCACTTGAGGGTATTTGTCTCGAGGTTCAAGCCAAGTCTTTGTCGAAGAATAAACGTGATTGAAGAATGCCCTGAATTTTAAGGATGATTAGCTTTCTCATGTTTTTTGGCAATTTTACTGATTCCTCATTTGTAATTCTTCTTGTTAATCATTGTACTGTTTGCATAT